TAGATTCTCAGTGCTGTGCTTTAACCCGCTGCGCCACCAGGGAGGGCCGGCTTTAGCTTCTTAGTGCTGTTAACCCGCTGTGTCATCAGGGAGGGCCCAGGACCTTTTATTTTTTAAGATTTATTTTTTTTATTCATACAGAACTGGGGCACAGGCCAGAGAGGCAGGGGTGGTGAGGGGATTCACCAGAGACAGAGTGGGGAGCAGAACAGGCAGGTTGATGAAGTACACCGCTGAGGGGAACAGTGGGCAGGAAATGCCATGTGGGTCACCTCCCTGGTCAGGGGTCAAACTTGTGCTGAAGCAGCTGCGAGTAGCTTCATATTGCTGTGCTTTAACTTGTTGTACCACCAGGAATGGCCCTAGTTTAGTTCTTAAAAAATGAACCTTATTTCCAAGATTAGCTGAACTTTGAGGACTTACACTATTAATTAATGTTCAAATTAAAGCTGGCATTTGAATTTACAGTGTACTTTTTTGTTTTAGGAATCATTGGGCCACTGGAGTCAAGGCTTGAAGATTTCTATGCAGGACCCCAAAATGCAGGTTAGAGTAAAACGTTGGTATTGAAATTGTTTTAAATGACTTCTCCACGAGGTTGTCATTACAAATGAAATCAAAGGGAGTCAGTTTTGAATGAGATTCATTTTGGGGGACTATTTTGTGAGAACAAGTTACTTTTTCCACTGTCATTAAGTTTGCAATTGGAATTCTTTGGAGAGAAGCTAAGAAGCTAAGTTTTTCAAATAGATGTTTTTTTTTTTTTTCCTCCTCAGCTTCTGGATACTATTAATGGAAGTTGTGTTAATCTTAGTGCAGTTCCTTTCAAGGGAGTTCTGGGTAATGTATTATTACTGTAGTTCCTGGACTAACTGGGCCTTAATAGTCTGGCATCATCCTGGGAGGAATCTTTGCATTCTTACATTATATCCTGGATGACAAGGAACCAGACCTGATAGGGCTTCTGGAAACACACTTGTGTCAAATGGACTGCTGTTAAATTGGGGAAGGATGCATTTGAATTTATTCCTGTAGGAATTTTACATCAGATCTTTACTATTTTTGTACAGGGCATCTTTTGTGCATTCTGTGTAAATATGGAGGTTGAAAACACAGTTTCTGGAGTCAGCTGGCTTGGAATCCTAGATTTTCTACTTAGTATCTATACATATGACTTTCAGCTTATGTGAGTCTTTGTTCTCTCATCTGTCAAAATTGGGATACTAGGCCCTCTCTGGTGGTGCAGCATGTTAAAGCACAGTACTAAGAAGCTAAAGCCAACTCAGCATGAGTTCGATCTCCGCCCTGGAGGTGATCTACATGGCCCAGCAGATCTCTCCTGACCGGCCTGCTGCTCCCCTCAGCAGTGTACTTTGTTGATCTGCCTGTTCTGCTCCCCACTCTGTCTCTGGTGAATCCTCTCACTGTCTCTGTGCCTTTGGCCTGTACCCCAGTTCTGTATGCTAAATAAATAAATCTTTTAAAAAAAATTGGGATACTAAAACTTTTTACTCAAGATTGTAGTGGGGAAAAATGATGTGATATGATAGCTCCTTGCCACACAAGATGTGAAGTGGTTATCTGTTTTGTTCTTGTCTTTTTCTGCTAGGTTTACAAAGATGAGCAGGTGGTAGTGATCAAGGATAAGTATCCCAAGGCTCGTCACCACTGGCTGGTCTTACCATGGGCCTCCATTTCTAGTTTGAAGGCCGTGACCAAGGAACACCTTGAACTGCTCAGACATATGCACAGTGTGGGGGAAAAGGTGATTGCAGATTCTGCTGTGTCTAGCAAACTCCGCTTCCGACTGGGCTACCATGCCATTCCCAGCATGAGGTAAGTGCTGGTACTTCCTGGTACTGTCCAGGTGGACAGTGTAGACAGCTAGGGCCTGCTGAGTGTTCTGATAGGCCTAAGACCCAGGGGAGTAGGGGGGGGTGTTTCTAAGGCAGGTGGGCTGAAACTACCCATCTTTCTGCTTGTATAACATGAGTTTATACTTTGTAGTTTCATAATGTGTTCTTTGTTCCTCGCAAAGTTAAACTTTGAAGGCTTAACCTCTGAACTAGGTGAAGCAGCTGCAATACCTACAGATGAATAATTGGTCAGGGACTTTATCAGATTTTTCAACAGCATCTATAACCCTCAAGAGGTTAAGGAACGCTGCTCTGAAGGAGACAAAGATTGTAGATTCTATTATGACAATTTAGTAGATCCAAGACAGAAAACAAAATGAGAACAAACTATAAAACTCGTTTTCCTTTGGGTCATACTCAGAAGGACTCACAAAGGAATGCTTAATACTTTTCAAATTTTGCAGTCAAAGCTGATAACTCCAGTTTTTTGGGGGGAGGGGTAGTAAAGTATAAGTAACATAAATTTTACTGTTTTAACCACTCTTAACTGTGTAGTTCAGTGATTAAGTTACAGTGATAAGGTCATACAACCATTGCACCATCTGACTCTAGAGCTTTTTATGTCTTCCCAAATGAACTCCCGGTCCCTGTTCCCTGAGCTTTCCACAGTCACCATTCTGCTTTGTGAGTTTTATGAATTTGGCTATTCTAGATACCAAATCATAGAAGGAATCATAGTGTCTTTTTGTATCTGGTTTATTTCTTAGGATAATGTCTTCAAAGTTCATCCATGTTGTAGCCTGTTTCAAAATTTCTTTTTGTCTCTTAGCAAGTTTGACGCCTAAAATATATAGTATTGTCTATCTTCATTTTACTATACATAAACTATGTCTTATTTACTAAGCCAAGTTTCAGTACTATTTCTTTTAAAGTGAGGTGTAGCTTATATCTAGAAAGTACATAAGATTTACAATTTGATCATTTTGACAAATGTATACATCATGTACGTCTCTCTCTGATTAAATTATAGAACAGTTCTGTTATCTTACCCCTCAAAGTTCCCTTGTGCTCCTTTCCAACTAAAACTTCCCTCAACTTCCAAGCCATTGTTCAGATTTTTCTTCTGTGACATCATATGAGTGGAATCATACAATGAGTACTCCTTCTTTCTGGCTTTTATTGGTTACTGTAATGATTTCGAGATTCTTGCATATTGTGCTTATCATGGACACATTTCATTGTTTTCTTCTTGGGTAAATACCCAGAAGTAGAACTGCTAGGTCATAGGGGAGATTTATTCTGTACCTCATTAAAAACATTTTTTTTTTCCACCTTTAGAATCTTACTTGAAAATTTAGGAGGAACATTTACCTATAATCCTACTTCCCTGGTGATGTCGGGTCTATGACTAACAGAGCTCATTTCACATAGTAACCACAGTGCCTGTACCTTTTTCCTACAGTGAGAGCTGTTGCTAAGAGTGCTCAGAGTGAAAGCTGTGTTGGGCAAGGGTGGGGAACAAAATGAGTAGTAAGAAACATAAAGGATAAAACATACCTTTTTATCATCATTCAATGCTGTAATTTTGAGTAAATATAGAAAGGAAAAGATTACAAATACCTTTTGTATGAGTAATATATTTTCCATTTAGATATTATAAAAAAGAATGAAAGAGAACTAAGGTCTTCCATAAATTACCACTGACTGTACGTCTTATTAGTATTTTGCTTGTTTTTCTTAGCAAGGTCTTTTTCTGCTCTGGTATCCAGTCGAGGATTTCACTATGACTTACTTATTGTCTCCCCAAGTTTGTGACACTACTTCGTTTCCTGTTTTTTATGACCAATACTTTTGTTGAGAACTGGCTAGTGTTCTATAGAATGTCTGTCAATTTAGGTTTGCCTGATGATTTTTCATGAATTTCAGATTATGGTTATTATCCCTCTCCCCCAAATACCACCAAAGTGATATTGTATTCTGTTATGTACCATACAAAGAAGTACATGATATTGAGATGGTTTATTTCCTGTGTTGTTAACCTTGATCACTTTGCTAAGATGGTGTCTGCTGGGTTTCTCTATTCAGTTATTTTTCCCTTTGTAATTGATGAATACTTGTTGAGACTATGCTACCATTCTTTATTTTTTTCTCAACTTCACATCTGTTGGTGGGTCTTGCCTGCAACAATTACTATTCTGGTATTTATTTAATTGTGATTTTATGTTGCTCTCATTCCATTAATTTATTAATTAAATAATTCTGCATGGAAGAGCTGTTCCTTCTTTTTTTCCCCCCAAGATTTATTTATTTATGCATTCAGAACTGAGGTACAGGCCAGAGGTTCAGAGGTGGTGTGAGGATTCACCAGAGACAGAGTGGGGAGCAGAGCAGGCAGATCAGTGAAGTTCACTGCTCACGGGAGCAGTGAACTTGACAGAAGTCTGCTGCGGCTTGTGGTCACCTCCTGGGCAGGGAATCGAACTTGCACTGAAGTGGCTGCTGCTAGCTTACAGTGCTGCATCCCAACCAGTTGTGCCACCAGGCAGGGCCCTGTTCCTTCTTCTAAATTGAGTATTTGCTTAATTATTTATCAGTATGGACTCATGGATATTGATTTTATTCTATAGATTGTAATTTAGTCTATCATTAGTTATTTTGTTGCTCAAATTGATCCAGCTCTAGTCTTTGGAATTTATTTTAGGATAGCTCTTTTATCACTTTTACATGTCCCCAACCTTTTTCTGACTACTTCCTTATTTTTTGGCTCATTATCTCTTGATTTCTGGAATAATATATTTCAGTCTCCATCTTACATTTTTCCTATTCCAGTCTTAGAATGATCCACTTCTCCAAAGAACCCTTATTCCTTTTATTAGAGAATGATACTTATAAATCAAGGATTGGGCAGTAGGTTTCTATAATGAGAGAAGGGTTTGATTCTAGGGTGTCATTGCTCTGAGGTCTTCTCCACAGATAGAATTAGGAAATACAGCTCTTAATCCTTTCAGAGAGATGCCCATAGTTACACACGCCTCTTGATGTATTCTTATTTATCTACTGAGATATGTACATAGAAAAACATGAGCTCATGCTAATGACCTTGTAGAATCTACAAGGTTCATTTCTCTTTCCTTTGTTGCAACTTCTTTCTCCAACAGTGGGAAATCTGATTCATTTTTTGTTTTTCTAGCATACATATGAAATAGTAACAGAATTGTTAATCCATCCTCCTGTGAAAAAGACTTTTACTTACTAGAGTATAATACTGTGTGCAGTTCTTTTTATCTCTAGATTTACACACACACACACAATATTTATTTATTTATTTATGCATATAAGAACTGGAGTACAGGCTAGAGGTGGGGGAGGGGTGAGAAGATTCACCAGAGACAGAGTTGGTTGCAGAATAGGCAGATTGAAATACATTGCTGAGGGGAGCAGTGGGTGAAACAGAAGAGGTCTGCTGAGCCATTTGGGTCAGCTTTCTGGTTGGGGATCGAACTCCTGCTGCAGTGGCTTCATAGTACTGCGCTTTAACCCCTTGCGCCACCAGGGAGGGCCCTATCTCTAACTTTACTGTTGATCCAGTCAAAATATTGTTTTCCAAAGGTACTTAGATTAGTTATTATTTTTTTTTCTGACCCCTTCAGTATGGTTCCCTTACTCATTTTTAAAAAGATTTATTTATGCATATAAGAACTAAGGTACAGGCCAGAGGTGTAGGAGGTAAGAGGATTCCCCAGAGACAGAGTGGAGAGCAGAAAAGGCAGATCTGAAATACACTGCTGAGGGGAGCAGAAGGTGAGACAGGAGCGGTCTGCTGCACCATGTGGGTCACTTTCCTGGCTGGGGATTGGCTGGGGATCTAACTTAAGCTGCAGCGGCTGCAGATAGCTTCATAGTGCTGTGTGACTTAACCCCTGCATCACCAGGGAGACCGCCCCTTATTCATTTTAATACAGTTAGGTTTATTTGTTACTACTTAGATTCCATTTTGGATTCCTGCATTTACTATTTGGTTTTGATTATTTATATAGGGAATGTGAAATATTACTGATAGAGTCAAAGTTATACAAAAAGGCATAGTACTGGTTTAACAAGATCACAAAAGAACTCTTAATTTTCTTCAACTTATAGTTGCCCCCAACTTCTTCATCTCAGTAAATGTCACTTTCCCAAATCCATGTCCAATCCATTAGAGCCAAATCCTACTGGTTCTGTTCTAAAATATGTTCAGAACTACATCGCTTCTTGTCAGCATCTCAACTACACAGGCTAGTGCAGCTTCCTAACAGGTCTCTGAAGTCCTTTCTCCACACATCATTTTTTTAAAAAAATATAAATCAGGCCCTCCCTGGTGGCACAGCAGGTTAAAGCACAGCACAAAGAAGCTTAAGCCACTTCTGCATGAGTTTGGTCCCCGCCTGCCCCTGAGGAGATCCACATGGCATGGCAGACGTCTCCTGACCCGCCCACTGCTCCCCTCAGCAGTGTACTTCGTCGATCTGCCTGTTCTGCTGCCCACTCTGTTCCTGGTGAATCCTCTCACCCTCCGCATCTCTGGCCTGTACCCCAGTTCTGTACAAATAAATAAATAAATCTTTAAAAAAATATATATAAATCAGATCATCATACTTTCCTGCTTAAAATCCTTCAATGGCTCCCCAATGTTACCACAATAATAAAACCTTTATCCACCTATGAGACCCTTTATTTGGTTCCGACACAGTCTCTGCTCCTTCACTAACCATCCAACACATACGACTTTTTTTGACTTTATGAAGTACCATATTACTTTCTTGCTGTTTCTTGGCTGCACTAAGTTCTGTCTCATTTCAGGACCTTTCAGCTTCTCCCCACTGCCTGAAACCCACTTTCCCCATTGCTTGTCTGACTACTTTCCTAAACTCTAATCTGCCTATGAGAGACCATCTCTTAACAGCCCAGCTATCCCATTTTCCTGTTTTACTTTTTCTTTGCTGTGTTAATGATTTGTATTTTCCTTGTTGATTTGTTTATATATTATTTGTCTCCCTTTGTTAGAATATTATTTCTGTAAGGGCATGAGGCCTTTCTTTTTTTTGGTTCGCTGCTAAATTTCAGAGCTAGAACATTGCTTGGCATTAGTAGATATTTAATATTGAATATCCTTAAGTACATAAAGGAACTGAATTAAATGGAAATATTATGAGTATTTTACATACCCCAACTTTTGCTGTTTGTCATTTTGATTAAACCATAGTTTATAATGGGTCTAATGGTAATTTTTCCCCCCTTTCCAACTAGCCATGTACACCTTCATGTAATCAGCCAAGATTTTGATTCTCCTTGCCTTAAAAACAAAAAACATTGGAATTCTTTCAATACAGAATACTTCCTAGAATCACAAGGTAAATAGTGTTTTTTTTTGTTTTCACTTCTGTTTTATTTTCTCAGATGATCTTATCCTGAGGCAGTTGTATCTCTAAATAGTATTTGTGTTCCCTGTACAACTTTGTACTCCCTATAAAGAGAGCCCCATTAAAGGGACTAGGTTATGTGGACTGTAGTAAAATTGTTACTTTGCTTGTGAGCAGCCTTTTTTGTGGGGCCTAGGAAACTTTTGTCAGAGTCAGAATGATGGTTTTTTTTTGTAACAACAGTGGACTTCAGGTCATCCTGATACACCCTGGTGTTCATGGATGTGAAAGTTCTGAAGAGTGTCTCTTCCACCATCAGCTGGGCAGAAATGTGGGGTAGCCTCATATCAGAAGTGGCTAACAGGAGAAGACTGTGTTAGTTTTGGTTCTTCACTTTCTGGCTGTGGAACATCAGTTTGCTGTGATGTTCTTGACAACAGCTACCATTGACCAAGGGTCAAACGAGTAAAATACTGTGGTAAGCCTCTGGCGTGGTAACATGAATTGTTTCGAGCAATCCTGAGGGAACATAAGCATCTCAAAAAATAGGTTGCTATGTTTTAGAATCTGAGCAAGCCCATTTCCCAGTAGTGAGTGTAATGAGTTTACTAGTTTCAGAATACCTGGCATATTTTTATTTGGAATAAGGTTTTTCAGGTTTTTGGTATCTATATTATCTTTCTAGAATAGCCTGGCTCTGAACTTCTTGTCCTTGCCTGCAGCTGTGATCAAGATGGTACAAGAGACTGGCAGAGTGACTGTCCGAGATGGAATCCCTGAGCTCTTGAAGTTGCCCCTCCGCTGTCATGAGTGCCAGCAGCTGCTCCCTTCCATTCCTCAGCTGAAAGAGCATCTAAGGAAGCATTGGCCAAAGTGATTGTGTAGCACGTGAACTTCTGCAGCGAGTTGTGTAGCACGTGAACTTCTGCAGGCTGGTTGTTTTGAGTGAACTCCTGGCATCTGTTCTGGATTGCTTGTGAACTTTCATTTCTTGAATTAAAATATTCACATTCTACCTTTTAAAAAAAAAATTTATTGTTTAAGCAAACCTTGTTCTATTTCTGAGTATTCACATGTTGGGTGACTCTAAATAGTTCAGAAATTAGGAATTTGGATTTGTTATGGATGCGTTCTATGGGAAGGTGGCCGGGACATGCCCTATGAACCTTGTCCAGGACCCATAGCAGGTTTGCCTAATTGGAGCAAAGTGGTGTCCAGACTTACCAAACACAGGATCTGGCTAGTTAATGTATTTCTGTTCCTTGCATTTAACCTTTCTCCCTGGAGGCATGTGATATCCTTTCATTAGAGCATCTGGAGTGGGCTCTATAAATAATCACATTTATTAATACTGTTGTTTATCCTGAAGGCACTGATTGCTTTCTGATTTTAATCTGTTCTGTAATATTTTTTTTCTTTCCCTCCTTCATGGGGAGAGTTAGCTGCTTCTGTCTCATTTTTTCTATTCCAAAGCACTCAAGTATTCTCTTCTCAGGAATTCTGTCTCATTAGTTCTCTCTGAGCAAACAGGTAGATGAGGGAATAGAGGGGAAAGTTTTCTTCCTGTATCAGGGGTTCCTGGCTGGGGAGGAAAATGCTCAGCCATATGTTCATCATGTTTCAGCTGTCAGAACTTGTTGGACTGCTTGGCTTGTCTGAAAATAAAGTTCATTTGTTTGGGATGGCTCTCTCATGTAGGTGAAAACTATCAGGATCCCTGTTTGACTAACAGACACAAAGTCAGTTCTGATGCACAAAGAGGTAGTTGTTTAATGGAAAAGTTACACAGAACTCAGTAGCTCCATTTCCTCCTCAGAAATAAATCATATTTATAGATAAATAAAAATATTTTATTTGGATTGAATAGTTGGGTCAAGTTAGATTTTGGACACTGTAAGAACTAGAGGTAAAGGGAAGTCTACAGGTTTTCTTGATCGAATAGTTGATCAATAGTTGATTAGTTGAGTTGGGGATGTGATTTTTAGCTGTTCCTGAACTTTTCAAAAACCAGAAAAAAAAATACCATAACTCCTTAAGAAGAGTAACTAATTTCTCTTTTTTCTTCCCTAATGCTTGGAGGCCACATTTGTTTGACCTGTGTCTTTCACAAATAAGCAAGCTGTTACAGTGGTTTCTTGGTGAGCGTGGGTATAATCATAATTAGTGGTAATGTTTATAGCAGCTAACATTTGTACAACTCCTAGATGTCTGGCATTATGCTAAGTACTTTATTCAAATTATTTTGTTTACTTGTCACTATATGTAACTATGGCATCAGTACAATTGTTATGTCCCTTTACAAAATCAGGCTCAAATCATCTGTAAAGGATCCTGCACTCTCAAACTCGGCTTGGTTCTGGCATCAAATTCATTGCTTTCTTTCTCAGTGGAACAGTATAAATATATATTATTGTTTATAATATTTGAAGCTGGAGCTATAAACCCCCAGGGGCTTTGGGCCAGCGCAGACCTGAAGCTTTCCTTTGAGTTTTATGATTTCTCTGAGTAAAGTCAGTTCCTTTAGAGCCCTTTTTGTCCACTTGTTACTCCCTAGCATTTTTCATTTCTGTTTGTGGCTCCTTATGCACACCAGTACTTCTTTTACCTAGGACCACTGAATCACAATCTCCTGAGCCTATGAATCTACGTCAAACTCATGTTTGAGTACCACTGTCTACATGAGCCCTTGTATTCAAAGCACCTTGTATTTCTGAAGCTTCTAGGACACATATACC